GTTACAGATACGGTAGTCTGTGTCGAGTCTGTTCCGGTGTCTGAGGCTGGGTTGTATCTGTTACTGATACGCTAGTCTGTGTCGTGTCTGTTCCGGGCGTCTGAGGCTGGGTTGTGTCTGTTACTGATACGCTAGTCTGTGTCGTGTCCGTTCCGAGCATCTGAGACTGGTTGTATCTCTTACTGATACGCTAGTCTGTGTCGTGCCTGTTCCGAGCATCTGAGGCTGGGTTGTATCTGTTACCGATACGGTAGTCTGTGTCGTGTCTGCTGCGAGCGTCTGAGGCTGGGTTGTGTCTGTGATTGATACGCTAGTCTGTGTCGCGTCTGTTCCGAGCGTCTGAGGCTGGGTTGTATCTGTTGCCGATACGGTAGTCTGTGTCGAGTCTGTTCCGGTGTCTGAGGCTGGGTTGTATCTGTTACTGATACGCTAGTCTGTGTCGTGTCTGTTCCGGGCGTCTGAGGCTGGGTTGTGTCTGTTACTGATACGCTAGTCTGTGTCGTGTCTGTTCCGAGCGTCTGAGGCTGGTTATATCTGTTACTGATACGCTAGTCTGTGTCGTGTCTGTTCTGAGCGTCTGAGGCTGGATGTGTCTGTGATTGATACGCTAGTCTGTGTCGCGTCTGTTCCGAGCGTCTGAGTCTGGGTTGTATCTGTTACAGATACGCTAGTCTGTGCCGTGTCTGTTCTGAGCGTCTGAGGCTGGATGTGTCTGTGATTGATACGCTAGTCTGTGTCGTGTCTGTTCCGAGCGTCTGAGGCTGGGTTGTATCTGTTACAGATACGGTAGTCTGTGTCGAGTCTGTTCCGGTGTCTGAGGCTGGGTTGTATCTGTTACTGATACGCTAGTCTGTGTCGTGCCTGTTCCGAGCATCTGAGGCTGGGTTGTATCTGTTACCGATACGGTAGTCTGTGTCGTGTCTGTTGCGAGCGTCTGAGGCTGGTGGTATCTGTTACTGATACGCTAGTCTGTGTCGTGTCTGTTCCGGGCGTCTGAGGCTGGGTTGTGTCTGTGATTGATACGCTAGTCTGTGTCGCGTCTGTTCTGAGCGTCTGAGGCTGGATGTGTCTGTGATTGATACGCTAGTCTGTGTCGCGTCTGTTCCGAGCGTCTGAGGCTGGGTTGTATCTGTTACAGATACGGTAGTCTGTGTCGAGTCTGTTCCGGTGTCTGAGGCTGGGTTGTATCTGTTACTGATACGCTAGTCTGTGTCGTGTCTGTTCCGGGCGTCTCAGGCTGGGTTGTTTTTTCGATTGATACGCTAGTCTGTGTCGTGTCCGTTCCGAGCATCTGAGACTGGTTGTATCTGTTACTGATACGCTAGTCTGTGTCGTGTCTGTTCTGAGCGTCTGAGGCTGGGTTGTATCTGTTGCCGATACGGTAGTCTGTGTCGTGTCTGTTCCGAGCGTCTGAGGCTGGGTTGTGTCTGTGATTGATACGCTAGTCTGTGTCGTGTCTGTTCCGAGCGTCTGAGGCTGGTTATATCTGTCACTGATACGCCAATCTTTGTCGTATCTGTTCCGAGCGTCTGAGGCTGGGTTGTGTCTGTTAATGATACGCTAGTCTGTATCGTGTTTGTTCCGGGCGTCTGAGGCTGGGTTGTATCTGTTATCAATACGGTAGTCTGTGTCGTGTCTGTTTCGAGCGACTGAGGCTGGGTTGTATCTGTTTCCGATACGGTAGTCTGTGTCGTGTCTGTTCCTGGCGTCTGAGGCTGGTTGTATCTGTTACCTATACGCTAGTCTGTGTCGTGTCTGTTCCGAGCGTCTGAGGCTGGTTGTATCTGTTACAGATACGCTAGTCTGTGTCGTGTCTGTTCCGAGCGTCTGAGGCTGGGTTGTGTCTGTGATTGATACGGAAGTCTGTGTCGTGTGTGATCCTGCTCCATGTCCAGCTAGACTTTCTCCTGTAGACAAAACACCTGGTGCAGACATTGTCCCTAGAGTAGCAGAAAATATTGATTTGAAAACATCTGGCCTTTGAGACTCACTCACTCACTCACTCACTCACTCACTCATATAGTTATATCACTATGCGGATATAATAGGGTATTGATATTTGCTTTGAACATTGGTTGGCTGTCTGCGTCATTGAAGTTAGTTCTATCTTGTTCTAAATATTAGGATATGTGTATTTATTTTTTTCTGAAAGGTGTCAGATCTAGCAAACGGAACAGTGATATGTGATTTCATACGGACTAGAATAGATAGATGTATTTGCTGGTAGCAATTCCGACAGTAAATGGAGGACTTTTATTACTTCCCGTGAAGGGAACACCGCCCGATAAACGTCAGTATGTCACGTGATTACGTTGTCAATCGCGCGGAGACATACAGAACTACTTTAGGAGAATTCCTCAAAATCTAAAAAATAACATAAAAATCATTCGGGAAAACTGAGAGCGACATCGATTTAGGCTATGAATGATACAGGCTTTGAAGTCAGGCAGATCATGTATGTGTCGGGTCACCGAAATAAAGCGTCCATTCGAAGTTATAACAGAGAATGCTCGACTTACTAAAAGAAATCACCGAGCTCCCCACTGTCGTGCCTCAGTAAAACCAACCGCACCGCCTCGAGCGGTAAACCCGTCATCAGCAGCCGTAGTATGACTCAAACACACCCCAAAAGTTCACAGAAGGTTAATATGTATCCATTTTCAGCATGAGCCGGGTCTGGATTTCTTTCCAATTCCAACGCTAACTTTACTGGGTGCAACTTGTATTTCAAGCGAATGACATTGCGGTAGCCGCCATTTTCTGCCGTTTGTAAAACCAAGGGATGTCACTCCAAATGGAATGCTTGGGACGGATGACGTCACGACGTCACGACCCTGCGCGTTGATATAGTTCGCTTTAAATAATTAAATTTTAATGTTTTATGTATTGTTTTGTTATGATTTATGTATCTGTCAAGATAAGGATTGAAGTTGTATTTGAAAACTCGTGAATAGTTCTGCTATCTGACTCGCTTTCGCTCTTCAAGTACCAGAACTGTTCACTCGTTTCATAAAATTGGTATTACACGGGAACGAGTTTAGTATTCTATATATATTGTAGTATGGTTACTAATCTTACACTTCAAGCACAGTGGCATTAGCCTGTTTACTTCATATTCCTTACAATTATCCCAATCGTCAGAGGCATTTTCTAATATTAGTCCAATAAACGTTATGAATATTCTCGGAGATTATTTTGTCATTCTAGATACATTTCTCATTCTAGATACACTTTAAGAACGTTTTGAGGTGGTAGTGTAACCGTGTATGGACCATTTAGTGTCTTGAGAGAGGGTTACGCTCAGTTGTTTGGGCGACGGTGTTTGTGCCTAAAATAAACTGTGTAGAGGAAGCAGTGAACTTATTTAGCAATGTCTCGTTCCAGTGGTTTAGCGATGTAAGTCTATCTGGACGCTACCTTTCTTGTCTTGTGTCATAAGCGAATAAATTGAATATGCCAACAGTCAAAGTCTTGATCCAAGTCAGATTTGATTTAGACATATTTTATTGCGGAAAACCAAATGGATTAGGCACAAGTGACACACTTACGAGGCAATGTAGATCCCTTCCTTATCGTGATTACGTCGCTTGGCATGAATATTTTATGCAGATTGTGTGATTGGCGGGAGCTACAGATAGGGCAGGACGTGCTGTTCCTTTTCGCGAACACCTGGTGTCATCACTTGTTTTCAGTGATCCATGCATATACTCTTCATAGCTATTTTTCCGTTTACACCCTGTGGGTTTTGTTTCGGCAAATATCAGAAACTTTATATTCTCTGGCGTTTTGAATTTTATGTAAACAATACTGCACTATGGACATTTCAAACGCGTTACCGCATATGGCAGTCATGTTTTGCTCATACATTGTCGTTTTGAATTTCCTTTGCCGTGACAAAGATACGAATTTGAAGGTGTTATGTCCTCAAGATTAATTTTATTCCGCTTTTAGTTTTCACTTTCCGCATTCCATTCCCAATTTTCATAGGTTCAAGGTTTGGTAGGAAACAAGATGGCAGCTTCCACAACATTCTGTCCATTCCCAATTTTCATAGGTTCAAGGTTTGGTAGGAAACAAGATGGCAGCTTCCACAACATTCTGTTAGGATGTGCTCGGGACATTAGAACCTTCAAACTTTGAACATACACTTCCTTTCAGAAGAAGGGGTGTTTAATTTAAATATATGTGTCCTTGTGATAATTTTAGTTGGTAATGCCTTCATTAGATATTTAGGGCTCTGGGGTAGCTTTGTGGTTAGGCGTTTGCTCGTTACCCTGAAAGCCCAAGTTCGATTTCCCACATGGGTACAATGCGTGAAACCCAGTTCTGGTGCTCTCCGTCGTGATATTGCTGGAATATTGCTAAAAACAGCGTAAAACCATACTCACACACGCACGTACGCACGTATGCACGTACGCAATGTGTATGTTTTGCGTTACCTGACTGATCATCCAATATTTGATAATTGGTTGCAATTTATCGTAGCATTGACAAAGGTCCCAAGGTGTCTATGTCAATATATATTTTATAATTGTTGTTGACTAAAAATTGTTAGCAATAAAATAAATAATTTATTATATTCAGTATCCACTGTATATGTTACTTAGCATAACCTACATTCATAACCTATGTCAACGCATGCAGAAGCTAATCTAACCCTGTATGACACAGGCAAAGAATGAAACATTAAAGCATTTAATTTACTTATTTTGTGAGAAATTCACGACGGTGACACATTCCGCAGGCAGAGCACGAACTGTTAATGTACATTACAGGTATAAACACGTGTTTCATTTGACACGCTTACTACCCACCTCTTCTGTTTCCATGGCAACATAGTTCCTTAATTGAAAACGAGGCTAAAGTTTCCCTGACCTACGACGGGGTTTCGAAGTTCGGAGACGGAAACGTCTCATGTTTAGGTGTTGTTTTTAAGTTGTGTTGACGTTTTGCTGTTTTATGATATGCATCTTTTTTTAACAAAGGCTTAATCTTAGGAAGGCCATGAAGCATAACCATAAAAGATCTGATCTGAAACACACACTGATAATTTGATATTCTTAGCCTTTGGAGGTGAGTATTTACCTCCTTGTATCAAAATCTCTTGACTGGATTAGTTTAGTGTTATTACAGTTAGGGAGTGGCTTTGATTTAACGCCGTTTGTGAAGAGTATTTCCGTTACTTTCTGGCGAGCCAGGTGTATGTAGGGAAAACTCCTCATTGACGCAGGTCTTTCACGTTGACCACTCTGATGGCACCACGAGCCGGGTGTGGTGTTGACGAACCTTAAAACATCAGTCCAAGTCGGGATTCAAACCCAAAGGATTTTTGCAAGCAGGCGCAGCGAATTGCGATCCCTTTGACTACAAGGCTGCCTATGTCCCCGTGCAAGGCGTGAGTGGGTGAGTGGGTGAGCCCGAAGTGATGCAGGTCTCAGACGTTTACCGCTTCGGTGAAACCAACTAGCACGGATATGGTGCTGACAAACCTAGAAACCTTGCGATGCCTTAGACTACAAGGCTGCCAATGTCCCCGTGCAAGGCGTGAAGGAATTAAAGTAACACGTATTGACGTTTCATACGCTTTTGATGGCTGTGAAGATAGCAGGTGAGGTGAAATTGGGTTCAACGTCGCGTCCAAGATTATTGCCCTTATATGGCGACGTGCATGCACGTGTGTGTGTGTGTGGCTGCTTGTACTAGTCCGGACTGATGCCGATTTATAGTACTAGCCCGCTGAGATACCATACCGCAGTTTAACATGAATACCCCACTCAGACACAGTATACTGACTCCGAGCCGACCAGTCCTTGTTTTAGCCCTTTAATGCCGAGCGCCAGACATGGACAACAAGCACCATCGTTTAACGTTTTTTGGTATGACGCGGCCGGGGATCGAACCCCGGGCCTTCCGCTCTCCGGGCGGGCGCTCTACCACTAGACCACCACAGACCTGCTACATTTTAATACGTTCCCTTTCACTCTGAATAATGTCTCCATCAAATAAAACATTTATAAGTAAAACAAATCTTCCACATTGTAATACGTTCCCTTTAACTCTGAATCTTATCTTCATCAAATAAAACATTTATAAGTGAAACATATCTGCAACATTGTAACATGTTCCCTTATTTTCCTCCTTTAGTATTTTAGATTCTAAAAAATGTGACAACAAGCGATTTAAAAAAACAATGTCCTCAACACCCCCCTCGAAGACATATTATTTTATGCACAGTGTTCTGAATTCACAATTATTATACAGATATGAACAACTGGTGTGTCTGGTGCGGAAGTGTTAAAACGTGACGGGTTGTGTTTTGGATATGTAAATAATGTTCATATGTGATATTTCAGGCCTCAGAGGGACTAAAGAATGGGATGGAAAATGTTGCTGGGATTGACACTGTCCATGGTTGTGGCTGCAAATGGTATGTGTTTTGATTTCCTACTCTGTTACTGGTGTAATTCTTTCAACAATTATGACATATCTCCTTACCACATGTCGTCTCTTACAACTTAATTTGATGCGTGGATACTGCTCTTTTGAGCAAATTAAAATCTGTCATGAAAACGCCCGTGAACTAACATGATCATATATCACTCGCCTGCTCCGTGGGAATGTCTGGTTAGAATAGGTCCCCAGCAACCGATGACGGTTGTGATCATGAGAGGCGACCAAATGGATCGGATGGTCAGGCTCGTTGATTTGGTTGCTAGCGCGGATCGGACTCCGATGCAGGACTCCGAATCACCGGATTGTCTGGTCCAGACTTGATTAATTACAGACGCAGTCATATAGCTGCAATATATTACTGTACTAAATGTGTAAATTTTTGGTTTTAAACAAATCAGATTTCAGAATTTGTAGTAAAGGAGACCTCGACAGCGAAACTCACTGACACGTATTGTTTAGAAACACCATTAATCTCTTTATGTTGTGTGCTGTGTAATTAAGTTTTGCTTTTAAACATTATATTTCAGAATTTGCAGTAAACTGGACCCCGACAGCGAAACTCACTGACACGTATTGTTTAGAAACACCATTAATCTCTTTATGTTGTGTGCTGTGTAAAGTTTTGGTTTTAAACATTGTATTTCAGAATTTGCAGTAAACTGGATCGGTTAGCAGGCTAACTTCTTATGTTAAAATATCTACAGGACAAAACACGACGATGTTTATGTATAGGATGAAACACGTCCGAGGGTTGTTATGATATTTAATGCCCGCCCCTCGGGATTTTCCGGGAGAAAGGGTTTTAAATATCATAACAACCCGAGGGGAAGTGTTTTATCTTCCTTATAAACCGATTTTGAACCTTAAAACAACATTTATCAACTTTTTTATGTTTCGAATATACTGTCCATGAACCTTAGGAAACGGGCGTAAAATATCTGTTGCTGGCGTACGGATCTTGAAAAAAGACATTCTAAAAAGCAGTGCGGCTTATCAACACCTCTGTAGCCTTGTTGTACACTCACTCGGCTACAGATATGAAGGTTGAGAGTTCTATCCTCGGGAATATAAAGAAAACGTTTGTCATTTGACATTACATTTCATTACATGTCACAATCTGAACTGAAGTTATATTAATGAAATACCCAGGCATTATATAAAATCCCTCGGACATTATAACACATTATATAGCAAATATGACTTGAATGTCCTATAAAATCCCAGGGACATTATAACGTCACTGTTTATGAGATTTAACCCGACTGGAGAACAATAGGATGACGTCACCGGGGGGTTATAAGGAATGTTTTATACGATGCAGGAGCACTCCTGTGCGGCGTCAGGCAATAAATACTAAATTTACTTTTTTGAATGCAAATTGTGTGAATGCTGGGTGCTACCGGTCGGGCAGCACATGCTAACTCTTTTCGCGAACACCTGGTGTCATCACTGATTTTCAGTGACCCATTCATATAATTTTCACCACTATTACGCCAAATGGAATCTGTTTCGGTGGATAATTATAATCTAGTTTGGTTATTCTCTTGCATTGACAATTACTATTTGTAAACATTTTCTTCTCCACAATTTGCTATACACTGAATCGGCCCACATGTAAATTATTTATGTAAATATAAAATGTCAACCCCAGACATGTCAATAACCAGTCTCGATGATATGCCGAAAGTGATGTCATTTGGCGTAAACGGCGAATTAGTGATGAGAGGTCAGTGTTGACACATAATGTAGCTTAGTAACTTTGAGAAATATATAGATATTCGAGATAGCGAGTCATAGCGGGAAGAGTTTGTTGATGACCTTAGGTACCACCTCATGGTTGTGTATGTGTGTGTGTGTGTGTGCGTGCGTGCGTGCGTGCGTGCGTGCGTGCGTGCGTGCGTATGTATGTATGTATGTATGTATGTATGTATGTATGTCCAATAAGCAGCTTAGATGATGATGAAACCAACCACAATGACAGAACAGTTTCTCTCACCAAGCCTTGATACAGCGCCGCTCTCTGTCTGCAGCCTCCTGCACGGACCAGTCATGTGTTAACGGCTACTGCAACGACAACACTGGATGCAGGTGCTATCACGGATTCACGATGGATCCTAACGGCGTCTGCGTTCCATTTGGTAAACGTTGCTCAATACACATTGCAATAATAATATACACCTCTATCTAATATAATAAATTATATTTATATATATAAAGCACAGCAAAGTTCTAACTCTCAGGTATAATATAGCAATAATTAAAAAATTGGAGTAAGATTTTAATTTGCTAGCACTTTCAACTCGTACCACGTACGATATGTCCGTTATTCAGTTATGGCCTGATGAGACTCGTACGTGGTACGAGTTGAAAGCGCTAGCCAATCAAAACCGTGTTCAATCTTACTCCACTTATCTAATATATATATATAGTTAATACAATATGCATTAGGTAGAGTATATATAACACACTGTATGATATATAACGCAATTTATATTGTATAAACAATATAGAACTTCATCTAATACACGGTATTAACAGAAAACCTCCACCTACTATACATTGTACTAACAATATGTTATGCTTCCTAATCTGCATAGGATTAACTATATATACACACATTGTATAAGAAATGGCAAAACACGGTGTATTGACAATGTGTAAACACAAATCATTTGGTTAAAATGCATATGGTTGATACTGCGATTTTCTCCACACAGTGTGTAGGGGAACCCCCTTTATTGTCCATTTGCTGCAAAATTGTATAGATGAAAGAAAAACAAATATATACACAAAAGCAACAATTCGTCTTAAATGACATGAAAGTTATTCATTTGTCCACAACTCGTGACCATAATTTCAGACATTGTCGTGACGGGTATAAAAAGTGGTTTAACAAACTATCACGTCATTGTTGGTGTTTATTTATGCCTGTTGTTACAAGGGGATCTGCACTGTACAATGAACAGCCCTATATTCGCACGTGTTTTTTCTGTAACTTATATAATACTGTCAAATGAAAAGTCTAAATCAGAAGCGTATCTTTCTGTAGAAGTTATTAAAGGGATATACAATGAGAATCTCAAACCTTTTCTGCACTTCATAACAGTGACTGAAATGATTGTGACGAGGTGGTATGGACAAATAGATAACATTCATGTCATTTTAAGACGAATTGTTGCTTTCGGATTTATATCCATTTGCATTTCATCTGTACGATTTTGCAGCAAACGGACTGTAGTCTGGAAAAAAAGAAGTTCGGAGAAATATTTCACCTAAAAACAAAACACATAGTGATGGAAATCATTCGTGGACTTGTTAATCGTCCCATTGAACAGGGTTTTCGTATATAAAATGAGTTGCTTGATTCTAGATCTTTAACCATGGCCGATAACTCTTGAATGGTTTACTTTGTTCTCATCCACCAGACCGCTGTACTCAAGACCAATGTCGATATGGTGTTTGCTCCCACATAACGTTTGTTTGCACCTGTCAAGGCGGCTATACCAAGGACCCCAATGGCAACTGTGTGCCCATCGGTACGTGTATCTTTCCTTGTTGAGTCCCACGCTATTTACAACGAAGATTTACAGCATTCATGACTCAGCAAAGCTTTCAAAAGAGAATTTAGGTATATATGTCGAGGACATTTCCAAACTTGACACATCAATGATTACAATGATGTCTGATGCAATTTTTTCGTGTTTTCTTCAGGTATGCAATTAACTTGCCTTTGCGTGTGTTTGTGATGGATGCCACCGGTGGGCAGGATACGTTCACCTGTTATCGTCACTATTTGATAATGATTCGTGAACACATGCTCCTACTGTAGTCGGAATTGCATAATCGACTCTGCGTTAAGCAGTGTCCGTGAATAGCTTGAAAATTGCTGATGCGGCGTAAAACAATATTCATTCATTCATTCATTCATTCATTAAGCAGTGATATCTTATCAATATTGATATGGTTTTGTTGCTTTCACGATCATGTTTATGTAATATAAAACACTTAGTGCAACACTTCAGAGTGTGCATGACGGCACATTTAGTCTCTGCAAACATTTTCTGAGATGGTGATGATTAATAATAAAATATTAATAAAAAAAATTCAAGATGGTTTGTGTAGATAATTATAATTTTGTATTTCCTAATGTTTCAAAGGTATTAATAAAGATGGGTGTTTTAGATGATGAATACCGTATTTCCGCTACTAGAAGGTGGTATCCAATAGAACCTGTTTCTCTATTTGACCTCGCATCTAACCTAGATGAATCGAAGACGGTTCTCTAATACAAACCCAGTCAAGTAAAACCCCTAAATTAATGGCCCCAATCTAGAAATTAAACAACGAATGGTCCCTCACTTCCGGTGAAGGACATAGGTGTCTGATATTCAATAAACCATGGGTCAGTATGAGTAATGTCCAAGGGTAAACTCCGAGTCGTCTATAGTAAGAGATACGGTACATGGTTTAGTTTTAAGCATGGTAAAGCGTTCCTCCACAGAACGGTGTGCAGTGGATTCTTGTCCGAATGGATTCTGTTCCAGTTCAGGGCAGTGTTTCTGCAAGTCTGGGTACTTCAAAGGACCGAACGGCGTCTGTCTGGCAGTTGGTGAGATCTCATATAACTTTTCCCTTAAGTGTCGTAATTATTAAATTCCTTCGCAGATATCTACAGTAAACTACGGCTATAACGAACACGCTTATAGCGAACTGACCGATATAACGAACTTATTTTTTAGTCCCGGCCATTTGTTGTATTTATGCTGTATATATGCTTATAACGAACTACGGTTATAACGAACCAAAATTAGTGGTCCCTTTGAGTTCGTTATAACCGTAGTTTACTGTATATGATAGTTTGAATACATGATCTCTTTGAAACGTGTGGAACTACCAATATTGACCATGATATGATGGAAATATTTGCAATATAAATAACCCAAATGACGAATTCTTTCTTTCTCCAGATAAATCTCTTATGAACACGATCAGTGCTTCGAAGGCATTTAGGAGTTGACTTTATTCCTTTGTGAGTTCAAACTCCAATGAACTCACACAAAGTGAACGTCAATTCTTATATTTTTAAAACAATTTCTTACCTCAAGGAAGCAGGCCTAGACACAATTATATTTTAAGTACGTGTGATTTCACGTTTACACTGACAGCCACACAACATCCAGCTGTATCGGGGAACAAAATAGTTCCTCAAAGAGAGAGGTGTTCCTGAAAGAACGAATGTATACACAACTTGCTCTTCAGAAACATTTGACACAACACATGTATTCAAATAACATCACCATTAAATGTGAAAGGTCTTTTAACGAACTACCTCAGTAAGTTAGTCACAATGACAGCGCATCGTAATACATTTAAAGCAAGTGCAAGACGTTAAAATGGCCGATACGATAAACGTGACGGGAGAGATTTCGGTTGTAAATGAACCTGTGGTTACACTACTGCCTAAAAGTTCATTCCCCTAACACGCGTTGAGAACGCGTGTAACACGCATGTGACACGGGTGCTCAACGGGTTGCACACGCGATTCACACCCGTGTCCACACCCGTGTAACACGGGACCGGGTTCCAGTTGAAGTTGACAAATTTATCAAATGAATAGTGAAATAAAACAAAACAGTGAGATGTGAAATTTGAGTTAATGAGCGGCCATTGAGCTGTGTTCACCAGACCGTAAATACAAGGTCGGCCCATCTTAATTAGTGTTCGGTTGCTAGACTTTTATGGCATGAACCATTCCACTAGGGTCCAGTCTAGCCATTGTGGCTAGCCGACAGTAGAACAGTAGTGAATTTAGATGCGAGTTTATTGCTAAGAAACCCCCGTGTTGACACGATTGTCGCGGGTTGGTAAATGTTCGCCATTAATAAAATAATTGTTTGTGGATTGCGAACATATTCATTTGCCCACACGAGTCATTCCATTTGATTGCAAATATAACGTTTTTCGTTCGCCAAATTTATGCTTTAGACAGTTCAATTATGACATAGCCGTCACCACTACTAATGTCTCATTATTTCACGTAGGAATATGTCCCATTTCCCCACACCCAACTTTCTGTGTTGTATTTTGAAAAATAAATAAAAGAAGGTTTTGTATGGGACACTTTTATACTAATTATAAGAGGATGTTGTAAATGAATATGAACAGCCATGCTGTCTGACAGTTGATAAAATTTGAGATCTTCACAATCACCGGGTGTGACCATGTAGACAGAATCTCGTTAGGGTTTGTGATTTTTACATTTGCCCAATTACCATAGTGAGTATTGCTGGGGATACCAAACGTAACAGTTTATTATTAGAGGTTGTGAGTACCTATACCACGTAGATAGGATATCTTTAGGATTTTAATCCTTCTTTGAGAGGCATTTAGAAGTTGGAGTACTACGTTAGGATAAGATTTATGGGTGACTTTAATCCTTTCTTTCTCTGTGGGTAATCCTTTCACGTTCATTTGAGGAAGTCACTCAACCAGGTCATGACAGGTCGTGAGTTTACTTACTAACTACTGTGAGCGTTTTGGCATGACATCTTTTCTTGTATAAACATAGAAACGATGCTCACTCACTCACTGTTAATCTTCTGCAGTTTGCTGGCAAAGTGGGGATAAACCTCAGTGTCAAAGACGATCAAACTTAGTTCGAATCCTTGTTTATATGTGACATCTCCCAAATGGGGACATTTTCATAAACTTGGCAAGTGATGATGAATTTTAATATTAATATTGTTATAGTTTATGAAATTGTTAATAAAACTTTAATAAAATTGTGCTTCACTCTCACGAAAAATATATTGTCTGTGAGTAAATTTATTTGTCACGTTACATCGGCATTTTTCAGTGATATTGGGACTACATGAAACATGGCTGGTTTTACATTTCTGATACAGGTGCTTGACTGACTGTGTAGTTCATGATCAATAAGATATGTTTAAATCAGTCAAGTTTGCAACAATAGATGAATAAGTTGATACATTTGGACCGCAGTTACCGATTAACAACTTAAGACATAGAGACAGGGAGGAGATATATAACCAAACCTATGATCCTGTTGAGACAGTTGACAGTTAGAACGTTGGATTAAACGACAGTAACTAATTTGAACATTCCCCAGTTATATCATAAAATACATCATAACTCATAACAGTCCGAGAGACAGCTTCCAGACATATACTAGTATTGAAGGGACAATCGCTTTTGACAGTTTAAAAATAAACTCACCTTAAGGTGCTTGGCAAGTCAAAACTGACCTCCCTGAATATGTTTTTTAGGTTTGACAGCAACTATGCTTGTGGATTTCAGAGATAGACATGATTGGTTAGCTAGATGTTATTACAATAATGAAAATGTCTTAAAAGTCCACAGTTGGTTTAATAGTACAAAAAGTGTGTTATAGATCTATCAACGTTTTCTTTTATTGAACATAATATTTGCACTATATTGCTGTAAGCTGTAAATAATCTAGCCTCCCCATGTACGTAACTTACATATATTTATGTATGGCCGACTTAAGCCTATCTCGCACACGGGGAAGCACTTGTACTATTAGGGTAAAAAGGGTAATGATTAAATAAAGAAGTGCAAACCCCCCCACCCCCCACCCCCACCCCCCCACCCCCACCACCATCCCCACCACCCCACCCCCACCCAAAAAAAAAAAGAAAAAAAAAGTCTAGTCCTTGTAGTAGTCTTCTCATCCTGGGGGTCGGGATTCTGGTAGAGACTCATGGCAAGGAGGGCGGCGGTATTGGCGACGAAGTGGTTTGAGGTCGGTACGCCACTATTATGGAAGAAGTGGTACAAGTCTGTGTAGTTTGTGATGTCGTACTCGATGTCCTGTCCACCCTTCTTGTGCACCATGACGAAAGGGACTCCTTGTTTGGCGTAGAGATATTCCTTTGGGGTGTTGATCTGGTCAACCTTGAGATCCGGCCGGGGCCTGTAGTGGTTGATCGGAATGTCTGATTTTTCCACTAGTAAATAAAGTTCTTTGGTATGACCTCTTTTATCCCTGCTGACGTTATCCTAATGTTCAATTTCAGTCTGCCTCACCAAGCGTAAGAAAGCATTGTACATGTTCTGATTAACCACACTGATGCAATTAAGCAAATGAATATTTGCTGTGGGCAAATATCTATTTTCTATATATATTTGTAGATATGAAGCATTCTAGTTAATTGTGGATGCATTGGGCAGACAGAATTGTGTTTATTTCCAGGCCATCCTGATCGTCGTTTACTACTATAAGGTGTATGGTTGGAGGCAAGATCAAAGGCGCCGCACAGCATTTATTAGATAACAGAAGGGGTCGTCCGTTTTGCTTTGAACAACCACCCCACCTGTCTGTAGGAGTTATATAATCGGTGCGCAAATAATTGTGTCAAGTCCACTGCCGGGCTGATGCGGTGTCAGTGTCAGCGATGAACATGAATGCTCAAATTATAGACTTGTAGCACTCACACGTTGCTTAGCCAAATTATTTGAAAAGTGTATATTCAATTCTCTGATAACAGGAAATATAACCTTAGAAAAAGATTCAACATACAAACAATCAAATGTAGAACACAGTCCTATGCTTATTATCATTTCTTCTGGATATGATCAACCTGCGGAACCCTCTATCCGATGAAGTAACTAATGCTCGCTCATTAAAAGAAATCAAATCCTTAATTAATCGTTCTGATGCAATTATTAATAATTTTGACTTCAAATATTTTCATAGATCATGCCAAATTGTCCACTGTCGCCTTAGGCTCGGCTGCAGTGACTTAAACGCTGATAAGTTTAGACGACATGTATCAGACATACCAGACTGCACTTGTGGATATCACCTTGAAGATGCAATTCACTTTTTCTATAACTGTTAAAAAATACGATAATATCAGAAACACTGTGTATTTCTACACACATGGGTATGGTCTAAAATTATATTACATGGCAGTAGTTAAGCAGTTCTACAAACATGACTCTTCTTAAATCAGTTCATGACATCATTGTCAAAAGCAAAAGGTTTGAGTAGCTTAATTTTATGCATGTAGTAAAGGAAAACTGCATTACCTTATTTCAAAGACACCACTTGCTTGCTTTCATTTGTGCATTTTGTTCATCACTCTCTTATATATATCCAGCTGTTGTTAAGTTGTTACCTGGAGAGGTATTACATAAGCATGTTTTGCTTGTTTACCGATCCAGATTTCTTTTGAAATAAAAATACGTTTAAGCCAACACAGCTAACCGTAAAACACATGATTGTAAACTATTCAAAAAGGGGCACTAATCTCTGGCTTCTTCTCGGGTGTCGGACTCAAACTCATTTATTCTTAGAATAACATGACATACAATTATCTACAATTTTTATTATGTACAATTTAATAAAAATAGGATACGTGGATACTAATACAATTTACCAATTGTATTGTATACATTGTTAAGGAATTTAGATAGGCCTTTAAGATTTCTTACACTGTTAGTGGTCATAATTTTCTTAAATGTTTGGAAACTTAAGATATTGCTCATTTAAGAGTTCATAGTTCGCCGTTGGTGAAAAGCTTCACATCGGAATATAATGCAATTCATCTCCCACGGCGATAGAAT